AACCACTGAGCTATAATATTACTGGAGGAGGTGCTCCTATCTCTCGTCAGTCAAAAAAGTGTCCGCGAAAACATGGCGGATTTTCACGTTTGCTGACGCCATATGGTTCCTCCGGCTCATGGCAATTACCACTGACCAACCGCGATCCTAAGCATCCGACAAAGACCTTCGCCCCCCTGTTTTTGCACAAATATTTTATGTTTTCAAGACAAAATCATGCCGTTTTTCTCCACTTGTGGATGCAAAAATTCGCTGTAAAGACTTTAAAAGGAAGAATATTTCTTCTGAAAGGTAAGATTTGTGAAAATTTTAAGTTTTTACCTTTTATTCGACTAATTTTCGATTGGCAAAGTCAGGGGCCGATATGCGTATAAAATCGAGGTATAAATATGTATTTGTCAAACACTTATATTTTATATTTACACCAATATTTCTCGAGCAGACATAAAAAACGTTGTACATGGTTATTTATACATTGTGTACATACATTTTCTTTCTAGTTTCAGGCACTGGCTTTTGTTTTTAGTGCCAGTTTATTAGTTTAAAGCATGCTGCTCATGCAATCTGTAGTTTGCTTTGTTTCATAAAGAGCAGTTAGCACTAGATTTATATACAGTATAAACAAGCTGTATTGTATCCTTCACAAATATTATAAACTGCTAGTCTTGCTACTTGCTAGGTTTTTTAATTATCAGCATTTACCAATTGGCTGTGTAATTTAGGCTTTTTTGTGGGGTTGTGCACTACATTTCAGTTCAGCATCGAGCTATCATCGATTTGTGCATACCCAAATTTGCATGATTTATACTTATATCATTCTTGCATTGGCATTACCTTGAATGCTAGTATGGGTCAACCTGACAACCTCTATGCCTCATAAAAATCTCCAAACAAAAAACCTCCTTCACTCAGAAAATACCTCTGTTATGGGAGTCTTGATTTATGTTTAGCCATATTTATTTAGGGCCCTTAGAGGTTAACCCATTGAGTCACATTGCACCCTACTATATTATTTTACTCTGTCTGATGCCAGATGATTTTACTCATCAAGTCGAGAGTGCTGGTGCTTAATGGGTTAATAACTAGCCTATGTGTCTAGTTATGAGTCGTATTGCACCCTGATGCGCCCTTTACTCTGTCTAACGCCAGATTATTTTACTCATCAATTGGGGAGAGCGATGGAGCTTAATGGGTTAATTCAGATTTATACAAGATTAGTGGTGCACCAGAGCTAACAGTTCCAATCCAGCCACAGCTGTAACTTGCAAAGTAGAGGTGGTGGTCTGAGCTAACTGGCCAGAACCTACAGTATGCACCCATTGCAATTAATTTTGAAATGTACTGTACATGAAACAGTTTCACACCATAGAATAAAACAATCATAAACAAAGTAACTTTATTTCTCATTTCTATTACAGGCATCAAAGTGATATGTAATTATACAAGAACTGAAGCATTGATGTATATGATCTTAACATTGATGTATATGATCTTATTTGGGTGTAACAATGTGTAGTAATACAGTATCTGTAGTAGTAATCTGTTATCGCTACCAAAAGAAAATTGAAAAGAGATAAACATGCCAAACAGCCAAAGTGATGTCACAGCTCATGGGACTACAAAGTGATAATTATACTAGAATAACTTGATTATACAGTTAGTTCAAACTGATTGGGTCATTCAAAAAAATATCCACACCCCTAATGGAAGAGATGGGAGGTTCAGCTTTCTCCCACTTTTGGACACCCTTAGCTAATACTTTTACTATTATCAGCAGTTGAGTTCGGCCCACTTCAGACAGCACTTCAGACAGCACTTCAGACATCTGTGGAGTTAGTGTTTATCTTTTCTGGAATGACTCATTGGTGATTGGTAGTTAATAATTATTCATTGAAGAATTTAAATTAAAATAATACAATTTCAACTGCATCATTGTGGTGGTAAATAATTCTGCAATAAACAAGAATAGGTTCTTTGAATGTTTGCATGGCGATAAAATATAATTGTTTTTGTTTGTGGGAACACCACGTAAATTTATTACTGCAAAGCTTTCGATCCGTAAGCCCGGATCTTCATCAGTGCTAATAATATGAGCACTATATATTATTAGCACTCGTATTATTAGCACTGATGAAGATCCGGGCTTACGGATCGAAAGCTTTGCAGTAATAAATTTACGTGGTGTTTCCACAAACAAAAACAATTAAACAAGAATAGATTATATAGGTTACTCTAAAAGAGAAAAAGCATGAAAAATCATATCAAGAGAAAATGAGGAATACAAAAAAAATATACTAGGTTTTCAGACGATGCTCCAACTTTGTTGGCAAGTTGAGTGACCCCTTAAAAATACATTGTTTTTTCAGAATTATATTTATCAAGAAACTATTAGAAGTTACAGAAACCATAATCCTATGTGTATGTACACCAAAAGCTAAAAAAATATGAACAAATATAAAGGCCCCAAGCTCTTCAGCTGAAATGTCGAGGTTTATTTGTCTTAGTCTTAGCTGTGGTTGCATCATCCTGCACTAACTAGAACCCCCACCCAAGAACTACAATCATAGTGATTCAAAACTCCTTAAGGTACTCCGACAGCAGAATGAGCTTCCTTGAGTACCTCTAGCTTTTGCATATAAAGTTAGTACAAAATATAAAATACTATAAATTCTCTTTGTTATTCCCTCAAAATATAGTGGTAAGTACTAGCTGGTAGCACATTATACTGTACTTTCATGTCATTATAAAATCAGTCCCCAGGGTCAAATTAAGATAATTTGATATTTGTAAAATGCACAGTTTCGTGCCACCTACAGAAAATTATAAATTTTCAAAATAGTATCATGAAATACAAACTGCACAGCAGGCTTATTCAAAACATCATAAAATATGCAACAAATAGAGCATGTAAACAAATAAACAATAGATCAAAATACCATTTTGCTCACGATTTAAATGAAACGAAGTTGATTACTTTGTACAACAAGGCTTTAGAGACCTTTACATACTTGTGGCTAAAATATAATACATTGTACCACAGTTAAACCCAACAATTTTTGTAGAAAATTTGCTCCAGTGTGACTCAGTGTGTGAAGTTATGAACTGAGAAATATTTTACCTGTAGTTGCGGCTTCAAATATCGTCTTTGCGGATGTATTTCGAAGTTTTCTGTCTTTTGAGGACGAGAATGTAATGTGTACGACTTGCACACATTTGAACCAGTGGTCAAAGGTACAAAAAAATATGAAAAAATCAAAAACTACGAGAATATACTGCAAATATTTCAACAAGCAAAAATATTTTAATAAGAACCAGGGGGGTGTGAAAGTCGTAGCGGGCTCAAAATTGAGCCTGGTCAGTGGTAATTACCATGAGCCGGAGGAACCATATGGCGTCATTCTGGCGTCAGCAAAGGCCGAAATCCGCCATGTTTTTGCGGACACTTTTTGATGCCGAGCACGTCCTCCAGTAATATAGTATAGCTCAGTGACGCATGTATGCTATCAGTCCAAGATACAGTATGTCAGACTTACACATATACCAACTAAATTACGGTAGTGAATACTTTGAGCTTGGAATGATGATGTGGTATACCAGCAAAAAGTTAAGTACGCAGATAGCAAGAGTTCCGCGTATCTACGTGGTCCGTGGCTGACAACAAAGTACCCGACCGTAGTAGTATTGGTGTACCTCCGGTACGTAGAAGTACGTAAATTATCGCATCCTGAAAGGAATCTATCAAACACATTAACAACATGCAGGTTAATTCCCTTTCATTCACTGTTAAGGTTTCAAATAATCCATCCATGAACTATTAACATACATTTCCAAATAGTCATTTTTGGGGAAAAAAGTGCCGTGGAACTGCTGCCGATTTGTAAGACATCGAGGGTGATTTATGTTTACGACTATTATTTTTTAAAATGGCGAAGACTGCATGTTCTTTACCTTCCTCGACTCCATAGCATCTGAGCCATGTTTCACTCATGCACCTCTGCAATGTTTGTCTTCGTCATTCCATTATTTATCTGACAAGTTCTTCTCATCTCCTTTTATGTCGTGTCCATACCATATCAGCATTGCTTCCCTTGCTTACCATCCCCCCGGAATTGTCGTGGGACAAACATTGCCTCGGCACGTTAATTGAATAGTTACAACCAAAATTTCCTTCTCCCGGATTATTCGCTTTCACTCTATCACAACAATCAATCAACTATTTGGCTGTGTTTTAGAATTGTTAATTTTTTAGTGTTTCAATAGTATTTTAGAATGTTTTTACGGTGTTAGTTATAGTGCACTATTTTTTTCATAATTAAAGGTACCAGCTGGTCTGTTTATTCCAACAATGGCTGTGGGTGCGTGTATTGGCCGTATCACTGGCATTGGCATGGAACAACTTGTTCTGTAAGTATGGAAAAATAAGGTTATTCGCAATGAAATTTAAATTCATCAAGTTAAAAAAACTCTTTAAACTAGAGATGACAGCGGATAATCGCGAAATATAATCGGCATTACTAAATCATTTATAATCGGCATTACTAAATCAAATATTCAGTAATCGGCCGATTATTGCACGATAATCGGCAATATAATCTGCCGTAAGAAGATTAACGTTAGATTTCATATTCCGAATTTTATCATTCTGACGTTAAATTTATCATTCTCATGCACGTTAAATATATCATTCTCACGTTAAATATATCATTCTCACGTTAAATATACCATTCTCACGTTTCGAAGTTTATCATTCTTACGTCAAGTTTATCATACATTGGTTTTATTGATTAATGAGACATTTTGAAAGCTTATTTATAAGTGTATAGGCCTATATGCTAATGGCCGGTGTTCAAAGCACGATTAGCGCTAACCCTGGGTTAAAATTTCCCCCATGCATTGTTTTGGTTTATGTATTTCTGCACATCTGTTTATTTCAGAACTTTAGAAAATTAAACTTCTGATGATCCAGACAAGATTTTCCAGGTTTATGAACAAACTTTTGGGAAGTTTGCTTTGCATTTTACGTTAACCCAGTATTAAGCAAACTGGCAAATGGAGCGCATGAGCCATCTGTTCCCACAACTTTTTATGTTCTTTTTACTCCCCTCCGTAATATTAAACTTTGATATTCAACTAAAATTTCGATGAAAACCTTGCAGTTTATACTCAACTCTTTTCTGTTGTATAAAGAGGAAAAAATTTGAACGAATCACGTGATCATAATTTAATAACCGAAGGTGTTATATAATATAAATTAACGCGCTTATTGCTGTTTACCATTGTTTTAGCAACCATCCAGACTTTCCAATTTTTGAAATATCGTGTCGTAACACAGTGGGCGCATGTGTTCAACCTGGTCTTTATGCAATGGTCGGTGCAGCGGCTGCATTAGGCGGAGTTACGAGAATGACAGGTATGCATGACTTTTTGCCGTGTTTTTTTTTTACCTGGAGCAAGAACTTCAGCCTTCCGGTCATGAGAAAGTGAAGTCAAGATGACGTCCTGTATAGCTATGCGGGTCGTAAACAAATGTAATACCATTTTTCCCCAGCTAATTCCAAGTTTTTTCTAACTAAACAAATTATCAGTTCATAAAACCATAGTGTACAGTAATTTTTGAAATCGATGTCAAAATACGAAATTTCAGCACTCTCCTTGCCAACTTTGTGTTAACCGCGCAGACAAAATCAATAGAAAGGGACTGGAACTGACATCCAATAGCTCTTCATTTCGCCATCTTTCCTTCACTTTTTGGACTCGAGTTCTCGCTCCAGATCTATATGGAGGTCAGTGATATTCACGCGTAGAATTGCTAATGTAAAGCGGTCAATTATTTTTGCTTTTGTGATTGGCTAGCGCGTTCGCTGTACCCTTGACGTACTTTGGGTAAATACCGTTGCGTGTTTGCGGGAATGACGAAACGAGCTGCGTTGAGCATTTGCTTTTATTCCGAGTTGTTAACTGCTGATTTTATGCTCATCTTCATTACTGCTGTGCTTATTTGAACAAACTTACCCTAAACCTAACCCATTGCAAACTTTCCTCGCGATATAGGGAAAATCAATAAATCACGAACTTGCCTGCAATCAGGACAAATTATTTCGTAATTCAAAATTACGATTGCAGGTCACTATAGTCTATAGATGAACAGCGCTTGCTGTGACGACTGTGCCACCGACGTCCATATGAATAATAAAAGTAAACCTATCCCTGACTTGGTGTACGTGATGTTTTTGCATGCTAGTGAATATCAGACTAAAAGTTCTTTTATTTAAATCAGATGCAAAGGGTTCTACCATAAATTTTAATAAGTTGACATATTTTTGTTTAGTATCCTTGGTTGTGATCATGTTTGAATTGACTGGTGGATTATTCTATATTGTACCTATGATGCTTGCGGTCGTCATGAGTAAATGGATTGGAGATGCATTTGGTAAAGGAGGAATGTATCCTTTTAATATCTACAACTAACCATGCAATGTGTACAGTAAGATAAAATGAATGCTAATCAAAAAAGATGTTTTAAGTTTAAACAAACACACATTTAAGATCAACCTCGTTCCCAGGCTCTTCGCTGGGAACGAGGTTGATTTAAGATAGTACATTTCGATTTAATCTGGGAGATCTAATCAGGAGTACGCGAGAAAATAGGTTAAATTCAGGTTATTTCATTACAATCCTCCATATAATTTCAGGAAAACTTTCAACTGCTTCCCCCCGAAAACATCAGCCGCAATCAGCCTGTACGCCTACGCGGGATAGATCCAGCCAGATGGATCTAGTAGGTGTTCCTCATGGGACTGCATACGTAATTATGGTTTGGGACGCGACAGTTGGTGAACATGGCTGTAATAAACAGCTTTCGAGTTTAATATTTCATTTTTCAAATGGACTTGTATTTAAAGAGAAATTCAAGGTGATAGTTGAGTTAATTTATGGGCGTTTATTACCATGGTATCAAGACAATGATACCATGGTCATGAATTATTAATGCTTGAGAACTAATTTTAAAACACTCAATTTCGGATTAGTATTCATCTTGTTATTACTGAAAAGTGTTTCTGTTGGCAAAGATTTCTGGAGTTTAATTTTAAACTTGACTTTTTATCAAATCTTATATAACGGGCATGAGGTGACGGGGATTCCCAAAATAGGTCCTTTCTCATATTTCTTTCCGAGATTTAAAAAAAATGTTCTAAATAACAATATCAATTTAAAACAATTCTGGACATTACGGACGTGAAACACGGATCATTTTGGCAATATGTCTATAAATTACTTTGAGGTTGATCACTTGTAGGTAAATAAGGAAACATGCAGGTAAATAAGGAAACAGACATGCAAATCCTTGACATTTTGTTCAGTTATGATAGCCATATTGAGCTCAACATGTACCCATTTCTCGACAACAAAGAAGAGTTTGCGTACACATCCCTTGCTGAAGATGTCGCCAAACCAAGGTACTGTATACGCATAACACATGCTGTGTTTTGAGTTGATTTCAGTTGGCAAGTTTTTTTATTATTTTTATTATTTCAAATGTTTTTCAATAGTAACCCTTCAGGACAGTTATACGTACCTGCTTTTCAGGGCCCATTTCATGCACACATACTATAACACGTTACACATACTATGATTATAAATTACACATGCTTATATATATAACTACAAAACTAAATACTATAGTATTTACATTATTTCCAGTTCTGAAATCGTTTCTTGAGAGTTCTAGGTAATTTATTCCATTTTCCAGCAGCCACATAACTAATGCTTTTCCTTAGAAAATTCGTCTTTGGTTTATGTACGCAATAATGAGATTATTACACAGTGTATACCTTCCGTTAGGCCCTTGTGTTAAACATGTTAGCTATATGCATGTTACTGGGCGTAGTCCCAGTATTTATACCATACAATGAACTATAAAGCTTTCTGTTCTTTTCTTCCCTCCCTCGACGTCTGCCAGCCTAATTCATTTAAGTCTGATTTCCATATGACACCGACAAGTTGGCGAGTTCCATTGTCGATGATTATATACTCATGATAAAATCCTGTGTATATCTGAAATTGTTTTCTTCTTCAATGATTACCGACAATGAGTCGGCGGCTGGTCGGCGTCATATGGAAACCAGGCTAAAGTCGCTGATGACCTGGTATCATACTGTGAACTCTAAAAACATCCTGGTGAAAAGTTTCCTGGTTAATCTGAAATAAACACTGTTTGGGGTAACTTAATATTTCTGGTTAAATTGCCTGGTTAATTTTACCAGGCTATATGGTTGAATTAACCAGATTATGTTAGGTCGAGTATTAACCAAGAATTCTGGGACTGGGATCAAATTAACCAAGACTGTGGTTAAATTAACCAGGAACATTAAGTTACCCAAACAATGTTAACTTTAGATTAACCAGGAAATTTTTAGCCAAGATGTTTTTAGAGTATATGAGCTACCAGTATATCATCCGTCCCACACTATTTTGACATTTCTCTAATTTATCTGACTCAGTTTTACTACAATTTTACTGGACTGCAGTAATCAAAACGAGGGGGGAATGGAGTTATTTGTGGAACAAGGCTTTATTCTACCGAGCAATCCTACACAGCACTGATATGCTCATTCTTTTATTTATAATTTAGAAAATTTGAACCTTCAATTAGTTGTGTAACAAAAGATAGTTCTACCATCGAACAACTTGGTATGGTTCTTTTTCATTGCACATAAAGTAATTTGATATTTTATGTAGGAGTAATTGCAGAGTCCCCATAGAGTAGCTTCAGTTATATTTTCATTTTCTCAAAATCTGTACAGAAATCTTGTTAGAAGAAACCAGCTTTAAAGGTTTTCCAGTCGTCGATGACATGGAATGTATGCGACTGTATGGTTATGTAAGAAGGAAGGAACTCAGGATAGCTTTAGGTAAGAGTGAAAACCTATTATCGTGGCCAACACCCATGATATTGTCATTGCATGCATGTGTGTAATTTTCATATTCTGTATATGGAACCAGTTATTATTTATGGCTGCAGGCACCGATCGGGAGGAAAATGGTAGTAAGTTTGAGCCGCGAACCTTCATTTGAAAATAACTATTTCTAATTAGGATTGGTTCGAACAAACTAATTTTCCTCACTCGGAGACTATCACCGATAATGATGACGCTTAGCGAAGCCCGCCTATACCTCCATACTGCAATTTCACCAGCTACAATGAGATTGCTGGACACTTGTCCTGAAGATCCTAGCTACAAAAGATAGAACAATGTATCAATTATCATGTTCGCTGATGATGGTTCTGAAATAGAGTTAAAACACTGTTTAGTTGTTAAGTTGATGGATTTGAACTTGTGTTCCCCCCAGTGGTCTCGGATAGCTCAGTTGTAGAGCGTCAGCCCGGTTATAATATAAATTGACGTACAGCATTTAGAGGGTAAGGTTGTGCATATATTGAGAAAGTACCCAAAGTCTAACGTTTCGATGAAAGCCAGGGGCCCCAAGGTGTCGCGTGAAAGTGTTGGATAGTTTAACGAAATAAGGCTTCCTGAGGCCATGCGACTACACTTTGTCCACCATTCTTGGGTGGCAAAACGTGGACAGTAACAAGCAATGTCAGCACGTGGAAGTGTGACGTTACCGCTCAAGAACAGTGAAGAGAGAGTGCCTGGGATTAGACTGCACCAAATCATTTGTTCGGTTTCTGTCGTCCATGTTGTTGCGCAGTTTGCCACCCAAAAATGACGGACAAGGCGTGGTCGCTGAGAAAGGCTAATTTCACCTCACAACATTTTGTAAGAAACAGTATATTTTTCTTGTTCCAGAAACTGCACGTGCAAAGAATCATGATGTGGTGTCACTGTCTATAGGATATTTCACGAAACATGCTCCACGTACTGAAATATCACATCCTCCACTCGTCAGCCTTAGACACACATTGGATGAGGTATGAATTACGGAGCGTCTTTCGGTTAATAATTTTGCTCAGTATTTCCGATGTATGTTACTTTGTTTCAAATGCGATTTTTATGCAAGATGTACAGAAATGAATCTTGCATTTCAGAGGCTCGCCTCTTTGTTGTGCTAATAGACAAGACAAGACAAGACAAGAATAATTTTATTTGAACTTCATGTTACATTGAGATACGTCATAGCTACTCCACACCCAAAATAACTATTAAAGCTAATGGCAAGTTAGGTGCCCATTAAATGTCAATGATTACAAAATAGTCAGAAAACATTATGAAATCTACGGTATGTCGTACGGAATATGTTATTTGGCAAATAGAAATGCAGCCATGATAAGAATTTTAATTCTTAAATGGTAACATCTTTTAAAATTCTTTCTTGAAACTATAAAAAACTCAGTGATTTGAAAGACTCATTGTCATTGATACTATTCCAGGTATTTGGGCCGGAATATCTTATGTTAAATTTACCATAATTTGTTTGTATCTTTGGAATTGAGTGGATTTACCTGCAAATATCGTTCAGGAAGCGCTCCTTTGTTATACTTGTACATAAAACATGCAGTGTCTAACGTTAATAGATCACACAATTTTAATAACCTTAGATCGTAAAATATAGGACTAGTACGAGCTCGGACGCAAACGAATACCCTAATTAGCATTTTAACCTCCATTAATGTAGTCTTTATCAGATGCTATGTTGAAATACCTTGTGTGGATTAAGTAGTTTATAAAGACTAATATGAAGGAAGGCAAAAATGTACAATTAGAAATTAATTGTCAATTAAATATTATAATGACCTTTCATAAGCGGACATCTTTATTCGGTTCCGAAAATGTCCACTTACTATATAGGTTCGACTGTATCTTCTTCTAACTTGATCTCCTAGAGTCCTCTTCAAGTCACTCACACAACACCAATGGAGGCTGTTGTTGAAATGTTTCGTAAACTGGGTTTAAGACAAGTATTGGTCACCAGAGATGGGTATGTCGCTTCCTTTGTGTTCTATTGTGAGAGATTTAAATAGATATGCTAAGCGTACTTTGCGTTTCTATTGTCCTCAGATGACGTTTAAGAGATGAACTTGTGCCCACAATGCAAACAATTGGCCTGCACAAGATTTGCTTCTTTGACAAGATTTGTTTGCTTGTGTGAACGATGAACAACTGACAAACATATTCCGTTCGTGTATACCGATGACAAGAAAACTCCTTTTGTACTGAACGTCGTACAAAGAGACTTGTTTGAGACAAAAAAATGCTGTTGTTTTTATCCCCCACTAGAACAATATAACTTACCAATGAAAACTTGTTAACATCGTACACAAAGACGTTTTGAACCTAGTTTTAAAGAGGGTAATCAGCTGTTGAAAAATTTCGATTGTAAGCGCCATTTTTACCCGGTAATTAGCCCCGCCAAATCAAATCCTAAAATGCGCCTTCACTTCGATATTTGTGAATATCTTGCTGGTTTTACACACTGGGATTGACAGGACAATTTCAGGTCCAAAGTAATAAGTGCCAAATACACCCTTTCTCGGAAACGCGAGTCTTGTTTCCGTAATTGAGCGATTGGTTTTAGAACCATATAAAATCATCTTGAAATACTGATGACACAATTATAAACAGGTCTTTCATATTCACTGATAGAACTGTATGCTTTCGTAAGTATGTCACCTGCATGCAACAAGATAAAGGGCTCTGAATCGAAAATCTCAACCACGAAAACGAGACTGTATAGCCAAAGACTGAGTATAGAGCATAATAAACTTACAGTATTTAATTGCCATTAACAGTCAGGGAAATCTTGCTATTATGCACACTTATCTATTCTTCATTTTCAGACGTGTGACTGGCATTATAACGAAGAAAGATGTAATAAAACATGTCCAAATAATGGATAAGAAAACACCAGATGCTGTCAGATATGGAACGCTCTAATGTAGCAGCAGTACTTGAAAAGTGCACCTCAAGCACCTCGCGAAGTAGTAGATCTAGAGGCTAACAACTCATGTCACCTATATATACAATCCCATACCATCTCATATTGGTTATGCTGATAATCATCCCATTCTGGTTATATTCTATTCCACATATATCTACAAACATATGTAGCCCCATTGAGGAAATACCACTGACATATACACATCTAGCTGATATCACTATCATTCAGATATACGCAGTCTAACTGGAGAATCAACTTTTCTATCAATATGATGTGATCTATCTCAGGAACATTTTTAAAGTGCTGTGAAGTTTTCTATATTTCAGGTTAATGACGACTGTGGTCAGTTGATGATGTCGTCAGATGTCTACCTCGTGAGGTCTCGTGTCACGTCGTAACTCGTCGTGAGCGACGAGAGACTCCCAAAGCGTCTGTCTTCTAGGGAGATGGCTGAAGGGAAAATATCAGGATTTTGGCATCTCACTCGATATAACTAATCATTTGTATAGATGGAAATTTCGAGTGGAATTTTTATACATTCATTGGACCAATAACCATGCAGGATCGAATAATGCAACTATTGGCCCTCCAGTGAAGCGCTCTAAGTTAAGCCTCTAACCAACTGAGCGAGGGTCGAGTTATCGAGCTCCAACCACAAGTTCTCTAACTCGACAACTGGACTCTGTAGCTCAGTTGGTTAGAGCGCTGCATCGGAATCGCAGGACCGCATGTTCGATTCCTGCCAGACGCCGACAGTTGCATCATCTCCTGGTTACGTCTAATAAATATGTAACAATTCTATCAACAAATTCTCTGAAGGGAAAATGTCTGTCGGGGGTCAACGCAAGAGGTACAAAGACTCGCTCAAAGCGTCATCGTCTTCCCGGATGGACGAATATACCAAACCTCGCATTTTTCAAATGTCATAAAAGTATATCTGAAACTGGCCGGCAAATCGCAATGTGTAAACGTACCTTTAAGCCTGGTTTACACTATTCACAGTTTTTGGGATCACAGTAGGAATTTTGCATAAGTAAATTCTACAAAAATAAAACAAAAGTTATTCCGAATAAGGAGTGCATAATATTAACACACAATTTATTAAAACTGTATATTTCGAATCTAAATCAGATTCATCTTCAGCAGTGTTTTGCAAGATATATATCTTGCAAAACACTGCTGAAGATGAATCTGATTTAGATTCGAAATATACAGTTTTAATAAATTGTGTGTTAATATTATGCACTCCTTATTTGGAATAACTTTTGTTTTATTTTTGCTGAAATTATCAGCCGGAAAAAAAAATTCTACAAACCGTGAAGGATTGTAAGAAATGTTTGAGCAAACTGACTTAAAAGTGCCCCTGACACAAAAAATGGATTTTCAGTCTATTGAAAGTACTCATTTAATAGTATAGTGTTGTTCTAGAGAAAGAATTTATCGATTTCATCAAAACGAAAATTTTTTAGAGCCGTTTGAATCCAAATATTTTTGGCTATTAAATGGCCGTCGGCGACAGGAGTCTGGCACTAGCATTTATTGTGACGTCACGCAAGTCAGTAGAATCTCAATAGTCTGTTATCTGTTTTGATCAGCTCGAAGGTTTTGATCGCTGAAGTGTTTTTATATTCTACGTTCTATAAAGTATCATCATGTCGACAACAGAATCCGACAGTAACTATCAATCCGATGATTCCGGTGTGAATTTTATACCGGGTTTAATATGTTGTGTTGGAAGATGCTGATCTGTAGCATCTCGTCAGGTACTGGCCTAGTATTATCATCATTAATACTACCAAATCTACGACGCGGACGTGACGAAAAACTGCCGCTATTATCACAGTTTCACTTCACGGGTAAAAAGTATGGATTGTTGTTGGCAAACAAAGCCAGGGACACGAGAAAAACAAAATAAAACTAGTCTCCCATTATTAGCGACTGTTTTTTAGTCGCGCCCGTGTCTCAGTTATGGCAACGTAGACGTTCTATGACTTTGCAAGGTTCATATCTCCGGTCTGGTGCATGCTATGAACTTCAAGACAAAAATACTACCATTCGATTCAGTGAAACTAACTACAGTTTTAGTCAAATATAGTTTTAGTCAAATTGTATAGCTGCAGAGGTATAGCTGTTAATGACCTTTGAGATGCAAATTCGTACTGTTCTCACAGAAACTTTGATAGTGTAAACCAGACTTTACACAACTTTAAATAACAGATGTACATTTCATGCAACTCGAAACTGGTAATTTTAAGCGAAAAATATTGCAAGGAAATGTTCAATGTATCAATAATCATGAATTTTATTATAATGGAATTGCAGATTAGATATCCTATTCCGGTGCAGCGCTCTAATCAACTGAGTCTGAGCTACACAGTCCAACACAGTCCATAGAGTTGTCGAGCTCTAGAACGCTGTTTCGATTCCTGACAGAGGACGTATAGTTGCATTCTTCGTAGCTGTTCCTGGTTAGGTCTAATAAACCCTTCAACTATTATTGAATCGAATGAGATGCCAACAGAATCTTGGGTTTTTTAACGAAATGCATCACGATACAAAATGGCGTCGCTCTTGTGTAATATAACTTTTAATTAATAGGGAAACGAAATGTATTTAAAATGTATTTAATTCATTTTATTAAAGCGATTTAAAAGAACCGTTAGTAATATTAAATAATCGCAATATAGTAGTTAACCGTATTTAAAATAAAATGTATTTTCAAGCTAACACTCTGCAATATATCTTTTCTTCAGTTTCTACATTGTAGAATACAAATTTTTTAAAAACATTTTCGAACACATTATTATATAATTGAGTAATCACGGCAAACCGAGGAACTTGAAATGTTTCCAGATAAAATAATTTAAAGACTTCTAGCTATACACACGTTGTGTCATCCCGTGGTGAACAGAGAAACTTCAGATTTACGACATTCAGCGTTCGACTACAATAAACTATTGATATTTAAAAACATACATACACCGGTGTTCGTCTGCCTATGAACAAATCATGCCCATGGGGATGAGATTAAGACTTTAAGACTCGGGGTAAACTGGGAAACATTGTTGCAGAAATATTGTTCAGTTCCTAGCGATATTAACTCCCAAAGCCAGCTGCATGCTACACTTCCTATATTCCAAGCCCAATAATAAAGGTTTGACGAGTGTTCTGAGAAAACTTTAAACCAAAGTTTATTGTTGTTGATCTGTTGACGTAGATCTGAAGTACTTTGTTCAAATATACTATTTAACAGTTAAACAACTGATAGATAACACAGCATTGGGCCATTAATAATCTTGCAAACAGGATCCAGTCCTTTCGAATTTCGGCGCATAAATAGTCCATCCAGACATGTAACACCAGTAACATGATACTCGGTGACAACTCAGTTGAAAAACACAATGCCGACCAATATTAATTATACCACGCTTCTTCTCGAGCTTTTACTATATATGTTTCAATCTGATGAAAGAAAAATTGAAAAACTAAATATCAGAAAATGCCATTCGAGTGACAAAGATGAGCAGCTACTGTAGTTCGTGAGTAAAGTCAATGTTTTCTTGAAAACTTTTAGTTGGTCAATTTGCTCGTGTGTACGACAAAAATGTTACATTTTGCCTTTGCCTGCCTCTGTTTAAATGTACTGTACGCTACAGATGGGGTCATATGGCTTCATGCAGTTTTAAGGCGCGCGGGTCTTTTGACGATCGTCATAAAAATTCGTTTTTTGACGATCGTCATAAAAATTCGCGACGATTTAGACAGAAGTTGGAAAACACGAGCATCTAGGGTGAGGCGATAAATCAATAAACTGAAAAACAGCGGATGCTTATGAAAAACATGACTAAACCAATACTGTCTTTGGAGAACCGGAAAACCGAAAATAAGACATACTTGTGGCGTAAAAAGAAGCAAAAGTTTGTACGGGGAAATAATACGTATTTCGTAGTCAGCAATGCCAATGTTTATGTTCAATTAACATAATTATTGTCAAAACAGTTAGGCTTGTAAGAGTAGGGTGTGGCATACTTTTACTGTAACTGCTATGTTCAAAACATGTACAACAAGCTTTAACAATCACAAGTTACTTTTATACAGTACCTCTTCTATTAGTTTATCATCGGCAGGGATTTTTTCCTCTTTCATCACTTCATACAAGTTTTCGACTCCAACTCTTAGTTTGGAAAACAAAATAAAAAGTTGAGAATATCAAACATTGACACATTTTTCCCTACAAATCTCATTTCTGATCAGCCAAGAGCTGCAAGGGTTAAAATACTTGTTGGATGCCAAGGAAACATCATACAGTGTACAATAATGTACACTTAACTGCTTTGTGTTTACCTGGAAATCCTTCAGTTTTCAAACAAACACATTCATCAAGTTTCTATCTCGCTATCTACTGTATATACTGTATACAGTGGCGGAACTCTTGGTGGGGCGCGGCCCCCCCCCCCCC